GCACTGGCGCGCTTCCCCGCTGGCTGCTCAGGTTTGTCAGCTCCCAGCCGCCGGCGCTTGTCTTTGTGACCCGCCCCCTTACTCCCCCGCCCTCTGCGCTTCCCCAGCCTTTAGGTCCTAAGGGTTGACCTTGGGAGCTCCGGCCCGCCTCCGTCTTCTGAGGACGCTTCTATTGTCACCTTGACGGTTCCCAGCCGTTGTGCCATTTGCGCACAACTCCTGCCTGGTCCTAGACTTGAACATTTAAAAATGCAAAGGATTTCCTCCCATAGGCTGCAGATTGCTTCCTTCACCCTTTCTATTTCTTAGCTAGCTGGTCATTTCACCCAGAAACAGCTTGACATCCCTCCTAGATGAGCTCATTTTGAGTTACAGACTTTGTGGATTACATGTCTTAAAAAAAAAAAGTTGGAAGTTACACTAGGGAAACATTTTTAGTATCAGAAGAACATCGGAGGGTGTGGTGCTTATCAGAGCTTTTAAAATCTTGTTCTGTGTTCTGCCATTTCTATTGATACAGTTTCGAGTTTTCACCTATAATGCACGCTCTTTTCTAAAATAAACAAAGAATTGCAAATAGCCCCGTTAATTTTACAAATTTTTTCTCCCTTCTGCGTATAGGCTGTGTGTAGTTGTCTAGCATAATTTTTCACAACTTTAAGGAATTAGAATTGAGCCAGAAGTGGGTGCCAGAGAAATCTCTGCACTGATCCTTGGTGAATGTGGGTTTATATGTTTTGAAGCAGGTGATAAAATTGGAAGCAAAACTTGGCACAAGTGTAATGAGGATATTTTAGAAAATGTTGATGTGTTTCAGAGTTATTTCAGGATTCTTGTGGCTTTCTGTTCAGGTGTGTAGGCAGGCTGGTGCCGTGGGAGTAAAGCAAAGAATTGCAGACAAAGTAAGAAAATTTATCACACTTCCCAGGGAGAGGGTCTGGGAAGGGACCAGCACTGAAGAAGTGTGGTAGTGTAAGGTTTGAGAAGAGCATGTATTTAAGAATTCTATAAAGAGAGGCACCAGTGAGAAAAATCGCCAGCAACTGCATTCTTAGGGTTTGATAGCATAGGTCTGGCTCCTTAAGGTTAGAAGATGACATTTTATGACTCCCATGGTCTTGCAGTTTGTCAGGGAGGCTGATCCCATTTGATTAGGTCATCCTGGTTCTGCATGGCTGAAAGACAAACTGGGAGTAGAAAAGATAAACAGTGCTAAGCAAGCTTGAAAAGGGGGTTGTAAATTATCAATAGCTATCTCTGGGGAAACGGTTCTGCCCTTGGCTAATGACTAGAGGGTAAATTAAAGTGAACTACTAGAAAAGCAAGATAGAAAGCAATGTTAAAACGGCTCCTCTTTGGCTATATTGATTCCATCTTGGTCTTTTTGTCCTTTCACTTTCCTTATGAGGAGTAGCCTCCCAATCGAGACAGGCACTTTCTCCTTGACTCTGATAGAGCAGGCAGGTTAGACTAGGAAAACTTTAAGACTGTAGGAAAGTTCCAGATCCCCATTGATGCCTGCAGCAGCTGGTACAAAACCATGCATGTAAGCAAGATGGCCTAGCTATAGAAAGCTTCACACCTACCTAACTGTTAGACTTTTATCAGATACACCTACAGCACAGCAGTCCATCTATCCAGGATGCTTGGGTTGGAAGCCAACCACCAAAGCAGGAACTGGTTTAAAGACCACCTGGAGCATGCACATCAATAGCCAAGGTTGATCCATTACATTCATTATAATACTATAAACATAAAATTATCCCAGGGGAGCCTCCCATTCCCATCTTATACCTGATGCCATGACAGTTCTGGTATAACCTTATAAGGCCTAAAACTCCTTCACCCAATGTGAGAGAGGAGTAATAGTAACCCAGCCCTAAGACTACTCCAAAAACCCACCCCTCGGTACCCCTGAGAATAAAAGTTATGTCAACAATAGTTGGGGGCAGAAGCAGCCGCTTCTATAGGCTATTTCTGTCCAGTCTCTTTTCTTGAGAGTGTACTTTTCTTCACTTAATAAAGCTACTCACTTGTCTTGCTACTTTATGTGTCTTTTTGCAAATTCTTTCCAAACTTGAACACAAAACCTGGTCAATGACATCAGTCCATCATTCCACGCTGAAGGCTGCATCCCTTTCTCCTGGTAACAACTCTATCTCTAAATGTTCTTTTTGATTGTCTCGTTTCTATGTTCCTACCTTTGTTGAAGCATAATAGTTCTTACCCCTAACTCTTTTGTTTTGTTTTTAGGTTGAGAAACTTAAAAAGAAAGAGAAAAATTATAAAAACTGATATAGCATGCATCCAGATTGACACATTAATATTTCAACCAAACAGGACAGATATAGCTTGAGCCCACACCCTGGATCAGATTCACATGAATCAGAGATCTCATCTAGCATCAAGCTTTACTAATAATTTTGAAGATATGGGTCATTAAAAAGCTCAAAAAAAGCAGGGAGAGGTTTAGAAAATCTCATAAGATTCTTCCAGTCCTCTTTTTCTGCATCAGACACATATCCTCTGTTATAGGCTAAAAATCTGCCAACAAAGAAAATCCAGGGAAAGATGACTTTACTGCTGCATTCTGCCAAACTTATAAAGAAGAGCTAACAGCTGGGCACAGTGGCTCACGCTTGTGATCCCAGCACTTTGGGAGGCAGAAACAAGAGGATTACCTGAGTCCACCAGCCCAGGCAACATGGTTAGACCATGTCTCTACAGCAAATAAAAAATTAGCCATGAGTGGTATTGTGCCTGTGATTCCAGCTACTTGGAAGGCTGAGGTGGAAGAATCACATGAGCCCAGCAAGTAGAGGCTGTGGTAGCTGTGAGTGTGCCACTGCACTCCAGCCTGGGCAACAGACTGAGACTCCTACACAAAAATAATAAATAAATAAATAAACAATTAATTCATTAAACGCTAAGACCAATTATTCTCAAACTACTCCAAATATCTGAAGAGGAGGGAATTCTTCCTGAATCATTTTATGAGACCAGTGTTATCCTGATACCCATACCAGACAGGAACACAATAACAAAAAGAAAAATTACAGAGCAAAATTCCTGATAAACATAGACACAAAGCCTCCACAAAATACTAGCACACTGAATCAAACACCACATCAAAAAATACTGCATCATGGTCAAGGGGCTTTATCCCAGAGATATAAGAATAGTTTGACATATGCATATCAATAAATGTGATACATCACATCAATGGAATGAAGGGCAGAAATCATATAATCATCTCAGTAGATATAGAAAAATATTTGATTGAATTCAACATCCCTTTGTGATAAAAACTTTCAACAAACTAGGCATAAAAGGAACATACCTTAAAATCATAAAGGTAAGGTAAGACACACCCACAGCTAATATCATACTAAATGGGGAAAAGCTGAAAGTCTTTCCTCTAAGAGCTAGAACAACACAAAGATGTCCACTCTTACTGCTTCTATTCGACATAGCACTGGAAGTCCGACTCAGAGAAATCAGACAACAGAAAGACATAAAACCATTCTAATTGGAGAAGAGGAAGTCAAATTGTCCCTCTCTGTAGACAACATGATCTTATAAATAGAAAAATCTAAATGTTCTACAAAAATCACTTAGAACTGACAAACTTAATAAAGTTGTAGGATATAAAATCAACCTATAAAAATAGTAGCATTTCTGTACACAAATAACAAACTAGCTGAAAAAGAAATGAAAACCGGGCTCGGTGGCTCAGCCTGTAATCCCGCACCTTTGGGAGGCTGAGGTGAGTGGATTGCCTGAGCCTGCAGGTTCGAGACCCACCTGGGCAGGCGAGACTTCATCTCTACAATAAATCAAAAAATTAGCCGGGTGTGGTAGCACGCGCCTGTAATTCCAGCTACTCAGAAGGCTGAGGCGGAAGGATCACTGGAGCCCAGCAGGTCGAGGCTGTGGTGGCCGGGAGCGGTCACTGCACTCCAGTCTGGGCGACAGAGTGAAACTCCAACTCAGAAAAAAAAAAAAAAGAAATCAAGACAGCAATCCCATTTACAATAGAAAAAAAAGCACTAGGAATAAATGTAACCAAACTGGTAGAAAACCTTTACAAAGAAAACTACAAAACACTGATGAAAGAAAGTAAAGAGGACACAAACAAATGGAAAGGCATCCCATGCTCATGGATCAGAAAAATTAATATTGTCAAAATGACAATACTGCACAAATCAATCTATAGAGTCAGTGCAATCTATCAAAATACCAATGATATTCATCACAGAAATAGAAAAAAACTTCTAAAAATTTTAATGAAACCACAAAAGACCCTGAATAGCCAAAGCAATCCTGAGTAAAAGGAACAAAGCTGGAGGCATTGCACTGACTTCAAATTATACTACAAAGCTGCAATAACCAAACAGCACAATATGGTATAAAAACAGACACATAGGTCAATGGAACCAAATAGAGAACCTCAAAGTAATTTCACATATTTATAGTAAACTGAATTTTTATAAAAATGCCAAGAACATATATTGAGGGAAAAGACATTCTCTTTAATAAATGGTGCTGGGAAAACTGGAAATTCATATGCAGAAGATTGAAACTGACCCCTATCTCTCACCATTCTCAAAAATAAACTCAGAATAGATTAAATGTGTAGACATAAGACCCGAAACTATAAAATTACTAGGAGAAAAAAGAAAAAAAAAGCTTCAGGATATTGGTCTAGACAAGGACTTTATGGCTAAGATCTCAAAAGCACAAGCAACAAAAACAAAAAATAGACAAATGGGATTATATTAAACTAACTTCTGTATAACAAAGAAAATCACCCAAGTGTACCACCTGTTGAATGAGAGA